CTGGCAGCCCAGAAAGCCAACCGTCTCCTGGGCTGCATCCAAAGCAGCGTGGCCAGCAGGGCGAGGGAGGGGATTCTGCCCCTCTACTCCGCTCTGGTGAGACCCCACCTGCAGCACTGCGTCCAGCTCTGGGGCCCCCAACATAAAAGAACAAGGACCTGTTGGAGTGAGTCCAGAGGAGGGCCACACAGCTGATCAGAGGGCTGGAGCACCTCTCCTGTGAAGACAGGCTGCGAGAGTTGGGGTTGTTCAGCCTGGAGAAGAGAAGGCTCTGGGGAGACCTTACAGCAGGCTCCCAGTAGTACCTGAGGGGGGCCTACGAGAAAGCTGGAGAGGGACTTTTTACCAGGGCAGGTAGTGATAGGAGAAGGGGTAATGGCTTTCAACTGAAAGAGGGTAGATTTAGATTAGATACAAGGAAGAACTTCTTCACTATGAGGGTGGTGAGGCACTGGAACAGGTTGCCCAGAGAAGTTGTGGATGCCCCATCATTGGAAGTGTTTTTGAGGCCAGGTTGGACAGGGCTTTGAGCAGCCTGGTCCAGTGGAAGGTGTCCCTGCCCACTGTGCGGGGGGTTGGAACTAGGTGATCTTTAAGGTCCCTTCCAACCCAAACCATTCTATGGTTCTGCGATTCTAATGACCAGTACACTTGAGAGTTCAGTGCATGTTGTGTCTGGTAAGGTTATACATTGAATCTGATACGGTTTTTCCTTGTGTGCATTCTGGGGTGATCTCAGCAAGAAGGAGCAGTTTTTTCTTAATAATTTTTTCTGCCTATACTAACAATTTTTAAAATGTCAAGGTTGGTTGGTTGTTTTTTTTCTGAAGTCCAAATACATTTCTCTTACTGCAGGACAAAGTAGTGACAGTGAAGACCTTCCTGTCCTGGACAGTTCAAGTAAATGTACTCCTGTAAAACACATAAATGCATCCAAACCACAGAAGATTTCTCGATCACCTGCAAGAGTGATTTCACCTCACATCAAAGATGGAGAGAAGGATAAACACAGAGAGAAACACCACCACCAGAATGCTTCACCTAGAGTATACAAATGGAGTTTTCAGCTCAGTAAGAATTCTTTAAGTTGACTTGATTAGAGGGAATTTACAAGAAATCTCGTTGTGAAAGAAAAATGTGCAAATTTCGGGATTCTAAATTAGGCATAGGCCTTTTATGGTGTAGTTATGGAAGCGTGTTATCTTTCATGCTGCACCTTGTATACTCTTCAGAATTGCATTCATTTGTTTAAAATCACCTTGATGAAGCTATTTTTTCTTTTCTTCCCACTTTTAAGATGAACTAGACAATATGAGCAGCACTGAAAGGATCTCCTTCTTACAAGAAAAACTACAGGAAATACGAAAATACTACATGTCCTTGAAGTCAGAAGTAGCAACCATAGACAGGAGGAGAAAACGATTAAAAAAGAAAGACAGAGAAGGTAACTTTCAGATTTGCTTTATGCTTCTAATGAGAAGTTAATTTTCTTGAAAATACATAAAGCAACTTGGGTTTAATTGACAGTATTTTTGGGAAAAAAAGTGTTATCATCTGTTTGTGTGTATACATATTTAGAAAGAACATTTGTGGCTTTTCAGAACTTGAACCTAACAAAAACATTCACTGACTATTTTATAACTGCGTATTAGAAACTTGGACTTCCTAGTGCAAGCTCGGTCTGAGTTTTCAGTCAGCGTAATGACTCATCTGATTTATCTTTTCAATTGGTGTGTGATGCAGAAGGGGGAAGGTTACTCACCCAGTTTATGGGAACATAGCAGTGCAAGCGATTGACAAAAAATCTGTATCGTTTTTTTGTGACCGTGCCACTTCTTTGAGGTCTTTTAAACAACCTAATATAACCAAGAAACCTTCGTTCTGACGTGTACTTTGATAATCTGATGCTGATCTGTTGTTCTATATGTTCAGTGTCGCATACAGGAGCATCCATGTCATCTGCTTCATCAGACACTGGAATGAGTCCATCATCATCTTCCCCTCCACAAAACGTGCTTGCTGTAGAATGCAGGTGATACACATTTCTCTGCCTTGCCAGCAACTTGCTGCCATGGACATAAATCCTGAAATTCAACCACAGAAAGCACTCAACTGGTTTGACATTGCCAAGTATATTCTGTACACACTTCCACTGCTGGACTGTACCTGTTCTCCCCTCCTACCCTCTTCTTTTGTTTAATTTACTGTTCAGAGAAATTAAGCTCATTGGTAACTGAAGGTTTGTAGGCACAATGTGACATGCTTGTCATTGTGTTTGTTTCTGTTTTGTTTTGGTTTGTTTTTTGTTAATGCAGAGAAAGGGCACTTATCAAATTTGAAAAGTTATGTCCAATGAAGCGTTCAGGTGTTCTAGGGAGATCTTAGAAAAGCAAGTGCACCAAGCAGACATCAGAGTATTATCAAAAAGAATTGAGTAACTGCTGCACTTTCACCGAGCTGTACGTTAACCCTTGGTGAGTAGTTCCTCTCTGTGGAAGCACTTGCTATACAGAACTGCCAAAGTATGTGTTCAGCAGTGTGCCCAGTTTTAAAGGTGTAAATGGGACAAAATAAATTGTGAAAGGAAGTGTAGTTGACTGAAAACTACAGTTGTAATAAGTCTTCCACTTTTTATAGGATTTTTGAGCACACAATTATGCAAATATTTTAATGTTTATTAATGTTTACAGTGGAATTGTGAATAGGTTTTCAGTGGACTATCTTATCCCTTGACAAAAATATTTTGTCTTTTTTCTATGTAATTTCAGAGTTTTTATTTTGTTACAAAAAGACGAAAAATGAAATATATAACAACAATGAAGTTATTTAACAAGATTTCTAAAGCTGAAATTTTTGTGTAAAATAAGGTATCTTGCAACTTGTTAAATATATTTATTCAGACATTGGATGTTGTATTTTTATGTATTTTTTAAAATATTAATAAAATTGGAAAAAAAACTCTAGGTTAGTTCACTCTTTCGATAAAACACACTTACCAGTTACGGCTCTTAAGGAGGTTTTATCCAGTAGCCATGCCTGTATTTCAAATGGGTCTGCCTACGTACCCTCCACAACGTAGATCTGTAAGCGGGCATCTGGATTAAACTATGACTTTATTTGGAAACTTTGGCAGTCCTAGTACTTACATTGTTTTGAGGAACAAAATTTATTGGGTTGCCCTTAAGATACTTTGTCACAAGGTCTTATGTTTGCTGTACTGCCGAATGAATTTATATCTCCCAAAGTTGAGATGCAACAATAAAGTAAAGCAACTGTGTATGCTTTGTCTGTGGATTGTCCCACAGACAGATACAGTTTGTAAATAACTCTTCCAAAACCATGTATTTAAAACAGTTTGCATATACATTATGTATAAAAGTGATTTTTTTATCAATTTTTTTATTCATGTTTGTACATTGAAAGGGGTTCTTAACCCCTTTTCCTGTGTTTAATATGCTGTAGAGTAATAACATAGATGCTCTAGACTGTATATCAGGATATTCTGGTTCACACGGCAGAAAGTCAGAACGAAACACTAGTGATGGCGTAGCATTACTAAAATTGATGTTTCCTGAAATTTCATTTTACAACATTTGTCAACTTGTGATTCCAATTCCTTCCATTTTCACAGAAAATTAAAGAAAAAGTACTCTTGTAAATGCACTTTTTCTGTCTTTTCTTAAGCAAAGCAGAACTATTTCAATGTAAGATAAATATGGAGCTCACTAGACAGCGTCAATAAAGGCCATGTTTTAAACATAGGCTTTATATTCTATTTTTATTTAAGTGATTGTTCTTGTAAATGTCTGGACTTACCTAAATAGGAAAATTAATCTCCATAAATTGTTGTAAAGACTTTTTTCAGAGCTAACTTCTACTGTTAATCTTATAATAGCTATGAATAAAAAGCAATACTCATTTAAAAGGAAATAACACGGGTCACATTTTCTCAGATTATCTTCCATGTTTAATAGTTGCAGAAGTAAATTTTAAATTTGGTGAAATAATAGGATTAATTACATCTTATGCGGATATCTAACCTCTGTCTACAAACTGTGCGAGACCTTAAACAGGCATATGCGCACACTCAGCGTGCACAGGTGACGGGTGAGCTCTGAACTGTCTGTTCTTCAGGACAGACGTTCACAGTGCGTACACTGACTGCTTCTCCTTCTCTCTTAGGAATGTTTAAAATATTGCATGGAAGACTGCAGGTATGGTTCCATGAAACACGGAAACCCGTTCTAACAGATGGTTGCTCCTTGACATAGAGAACGCGCTTCCTTACTTCCTCTTTCCGCCTGGTTACCTTGCACCAGTACTCATCAGACAGACAGACAGACACGCACCCACCCACGCCCCCCCCCAATAACAACTAACGTTACTAGTCTGGCAGAAAACTAAACCCGCAAGAAAAGGCGGATGACTTCCTGCCAAGCCACTGGCAAAGCCTCTAGCATGTTACTGATTTCCTAGTTTTATCTTTCTGGCAAGAAGCGTTATCAGTTAGCCAGATTATTCAGTAGATGTTTAAATTCCTTTTTTATGACTTTTAAAAATACTG